TCAATGGTAATACATCCCTTAAAGCAATAGACATGGGACACAAAACGACCAACATTCAAACTGTGGAAATGTAGGACAAACAGGAGAGCATAATTATGAGGGGCACAGGGGGAGGGTTGCAGGGTAGGGAGGAGAGGAGACTGGGTTAGGGTTGGACATGGAGAATGGGGAATGAAACTAAATATACGCATGACTTTGAATGTAAAACAAGCTCTTAAAAAAAAAAAGAAGATGATATGATTCTATACATAGAAAACCCAAGAGACTCAGTAAGAAAACTATTGGAATTTATTGAAAGATTTAGCATAGTGGCAGGATAAAAGATCAACATACAAAAATCATTTGGATTCCTCAACACTAGCAAACAGATCTCTGAAAAGGAAATCAATACCATATATAATAGCTACCAAAAATATAAGATACTTGGAATTAAATCTTACCAGGAATACAAAAGACATACACAAAGAAAACTACAAAACACTACTTCAAGAAACTATAAGAGACCTACATAAATGGAAGAACATACCATGCTCATGGATAGGAAGACTGAACATTGTGAAAATGTCAACAGTACCCAAAGTGATCTATGCATTCAATGCAATCCTGATCCAGATTCCATCAACATTCTTTAAGGATATGGAAAACCAATCAGTAATTTTATATGGAAAGGAAAGAAACCTTGGATAAGCAAAGTACTACTGAAGAAGAAGAACTTAGTAGGATGTCTCACATTCCAGGATCTCAAAACCTACTATACAACCATAGTAGTCAAAATAGGCTGGTATTGGTACAATGACAGACACGTCAATCATTGGACTAGAATTGAGAACCCAGAAATAGATCCATCTACCTATGGTAAGGTGATCTTTGACAAAGTGCCAAAATCAACCTGTTTAATAAATAGTGCTGGCGAAACTGGATATACATTTTCAGAAATTGAAAAAAGATCCATACCACACACCATACACAAAAGCTAACTCCAGATGGATCAAAGATATAAAAGTTAAATTGAAATCTATAAATTTCATCTAAGAATAAACAGGGGCAAAGATAGGGCCCTAACTTATGACATAAATAGACTATCAAATATAATCCAAAATACACAAACAACAGAAAATAAACTAGATGATAGGGATCTTTCAAAAATTAAAATCTTATGTGCATTAGAAGATTTCTCTAAAAGAGGAAAAAGAGAACCTACAGAAAAAAAAAAAAAAGACATATAGGACAAAGGACTTATCTCTTAAATTTGTAGAAAACTCCAACATTTCAACATCAAAAGGACAAACAATCCAATTTAAAATAGGATGGAAGGCATGAACAGACACTTCACCAGAGAAGATGTTCAGACTATAAACAAACACATGAAGAAATATTTGCTATCATCAGCCATTAGAGAGAGGAAAATCAAAATAACTTAGAGATACCATCTCACCCCAGCATTAATACCAAAGTTCAACAAGACAGAAAACAAAAAAAAATGCTGCTGAGGATGTGGAGAGATTGGGACTCTCATACACTGCTGCTGGGACTGTAGAATCAGACAAGCACTGTGGAAATTGGTATAGCCATTCCATAAAAATTTGGAAACAGAAATATCATTTGACTCAGCAATCGCATTACTGGGTACATATTCTAAAGAAGTGAGAGGCAGGACACAAATAGATATATGCACATCAATGTTCATTATAGCACTCTTCACAATAGCAAAGGGATGAAAACAACCTAAGTACCCATCAACTGAGGAATGGATAAACAAACGTTGGTACATACACACAATGCAATACTACGTAACCCTAAAGAATAATGTAGAATGTGCAAAACACCACGTAATGTGGATGAACTTGGAGGACATTATGCTGAGTGAATTAAGTCTATCACAGGACAAGTATTTTATTTGTCCACTATTGTAAAAAGTCAAGGAAAGTTTTATGCATAGAAGGAAACGTTCTTTGTTGGTTTTCAAGGTGGGTGGAAATTTCTAGAGAAGTTGGGGAGGAAATATATATATATATATATATATATATATATATATATATATATATATACATATAAAAAATTAGTGGTTACTAGGGTAGGAGAGAGGGCGAAAAGTGTTAGCTTTTGTTTGGGGGACATTGAGGTTATGCTAATGTGATGGAATATTTAGGATTGAACAATGGTGGCACAACATGAAAAATGTCATCAATGTCCCTGAGCTGTAAATGTGGAAATGTAGAGGTTGTTATATTGGAGAATGTCTTGTTATGTATGTTTTCACCATAATGAAATTTAAAAAACAAAAGAAGAAGAAAGAAAAGAAGACATAAGAAATACACAGGGGCATTGTACCAGAAAGAATTGGTCACCATTCAACCATTTTCAGAGGTAATATATGGTCCTGGTTACTTAGCACCACTCAGACAGGAATATATCACAAATAGGATGGCATTAACAAACAGAAGTCTATTCTCTTACAGTTTGGAGGCTTTAACTCCGAGTTCAAAGTGCCCGGTTCTAGGGGCTGGGTGAAGGCCCTTCACCTTGGGTTTCAGCACTGCCTCCTGCTCCCTGCCCACTGAAGATGGAGGCTTCTCTTCAGTCAGCTGCTGGCTGCTGAGGCTGACAAGCCCCAGATTGACAAGTAAAAAGCCACAGTCTTGATGTTACAAAACTACATGGCAGGCCATTGATTCAAGCCCATTGAAAGTCTCAGGATAGCCAGAGCATGGCAGGTTGCTGAACAAGACTTGGCTACATGCAGGGTCCAAGTGTGCCATAAGCTAGACAACATTCCCCAAGGCTTCTGCTTATTTACAGGAAGCAGATCACATCCCTAAGGCAGTTACTCAGCTGCTCCAATAAATTCCACCATGGAGTTGATTACCAGTCTCATCATGGGGAATACTATATCCAGCTGCATAGCCATTCAATCAGGTCCAGCCAAGTTGACACACAAACTGAACTACTGCACATATGATCAATAAACAATGATATTGAAGGAAGGAGTCCAAGTTGCACTGAAGGCATTGCAGAAAAATTAGCCTCCAGAAGTTAAAGGAATACCCATTGCAATATTTCAACAAATACATGCAATGGAAAAAGTGCTCACTTATCTATGCCAAGAAATTTGGAAGGCAGCTAGCTGGGCAAACTATTGGAAGCCATTCATATCTGTACCAATTCCAAAGAAAGTTTACCCGACAGAATGTAGAAATTATCAAGCAATATCATTAATATCACATGTAAGTAAAAATTTGCTGAATGTAATTATGAAAATCTTTGCAGCAGTATATTGACAGGGAGCTACCAGAAATTTAAGCTGGATCAGAAGAGGAGATAGGAAATCATTGCTGATGTCTCATGGATCATGGCTGAGCAGTAAATACTGGAAAATGTTTACTTGTGATTTATTGACTATACAAAGGCGTTTAACTTTGTAGATCATAAAAAATATGGATAATGTTATGAAGAACTGAATTTCTACAACACTTAATTGTGCTCACATGGAACTTGTACACAGATCAAGAGGTAGTCATTCAAACAGAAAAGGGGAATAGTGTGTGGTTTACAATCAGGAAAGTTGTGTGTCATGGATGTATCATTTTACCATACTTATTCAATCTGTATGCTGAGCAAATAATCCAAAAAAAAAATAAAAAAAATAAAAAAAACTGGACTATATAAAGAAGAATGCAGCATGAAGATTAGAGGAAGACTCTAACAATCTGTGATATGCAGATGATACCAACTTGCTTGCTGAAAGCAGTTAGGACTTGAAGCACTTACTGATGAAAATCAAAGATTATAACCATCAATATGGATTATATCTCAACATAAAGAAAACAAAAAGCCTCATAAATAGACATATAAGTAAATCTTGATAAATAGATAAAATATTAAAATTGTTAAGGATTCTATTTGACTTGAATCCATAATCAAAGCTCATGAATCAACAGCCTAGAAATTAAAAAATATATATATATTGCATTGGACAAATCTATTTCAAAAGACTTCTTTAAACTGTTAAAAAGCAAACATGTCACTTTGAGGATGAAAGTGTGTTTGATCCAAGCCATGGTATTTTCAACCACCTCATATACATGCAAATGATGAACAATGATTAACGGTGACCAAAGAAAAAATTGATGTCTATGAATTATGGTGTTGGTGAAGAATATTCAATATATCATGAATTGTTAGAAGAACAAACAAATCTGTCTTGGAAGAGGTACAGCCAGAAAACTCCTTAGGAAGCAAGGATGGTGAGACTTCATCCCACAAATGTTGGACATTTATCAGGAGGGACCAGCCCCTGGCAAAGGCCATGGTGCTTGGCAAAGTAGACATTCTCAGGAATACCCTCAATGGGATGGATTGACATAGTGACTGCAACAATGGGTGCAAACATAATAATTATTGTGAGGATGGTATAGAACCGGGCAGTTATTTTTCCTGTCATACATAGGATTGGTATAAGTAAGATTTGACAAAATGATACCTAACAACAAAAACATCTCTTTACTGTAAAGGAATATAATAATGACTCATATGGATGCTATAAAGTTAAATTTTCTCTTTGAAAAGAAGTGCATATTAAAGAATATGCAAGAGACTGCATTTCATTAGTTATGCACCCAAGGTTATATAAATATATTAAATGATTATGCACTTGGTAGCCTTATATACATGTAAAATTTCATAAAAATTGAAAGTCTCCGAATGGAATTTAACCAAGAAAATATCATCCAGTGATTTTATCAAAATGCCCACACTACACACACTAAGGAATTTGTAAAATTTGAATTATATTAAGTGGAGGTGTTAATTCTGCCTAATTATTCTTGGAATCTCATTGAAAAAGTGGGCACTATATTAATGAGTATGATAATGCAACTCAAGTAAATTGTGACATAAAATATTTCACACATAAAGATGATGCAGCTTTGACACTGCGGTAGAGGTCATGATATGCTACAAATTTCATTATTTATCAAGTACAAATGAAGATAATAAAATACCTTTTACCACCAGGCTGCCAGTGCTCTTAGCAACACCAAACTGATTTGTGGCTATGCAAGTATATGATCCAGCATCTGACCTGGAAACATTATAAATCTTCAGGCTGCCATCCTCCATGAGAAACACTCTAAAAGGGAAATGCATAATTAATGGAAAGTAAAGCTATATTTTTTTTTATACACTGTTAATTCAAGTCCACTTATTTAGTTTTAAAACATACCTAAAATCATGGGTATACATTTATAATAGAATTTATTCACTTCCTATTCTATTATTCCTAATGTGAGCACTCTCTGAATCTACACATTAGAATAAATAGCATTTGCTTTTATTCCAACAGAGTATTGATAATTATCATACCATAAATTCAATTTATTATCTCTAAGTTTTAAAGGCACATCAATGCTTGATAGTGCAATGCCCTATTCCACCACTCATCTGTCAGTTTGTCATACTGTGTTGGCTTGCATTTTGCTGTGATGCTGGAAGCTATGCCACCAGTATTTCAAATACCAGCAAGGCACCCATGTGCACAGGTTTCAGCAGTGCTTCCAGATTAAGACAAATTGGGAAGAAGGATGAGGCATCTACTTCAGAAAAATTTTGCCCCTGTAAATCTGATGAATAGCAGTGATACACTGTCTGATATAGTGCAGAAGATGAACCCCTCAGGTTGGAAGATGCTCAAAATACTAATGGGAAAGAATTGCCTCCTCAAAGTAAAATCGACCTTGAAGTGGATGGAGTAAAGCTTTCAAGACTTTCATTCATTGATGTGGCATGACTGAAAATGAGAAGGAACACCTGAGAGCATCCAATGCCAGTTAGAACATGCAATGTATGAAGTATGAAGCAAGGAAAATTGGAAGTTGTCAAAAATGAAATAGAGCCCTTAAAGGTTGATACCCTAGGCACTAGTGAGCTGAAAAGGACCAGTATTGTCCATTTTGAATCCAATGATCATATGGTCCTCTATGCCAGGTGTGGTAGTTAAGGCTGTATGTCAGCTTGGGTGGGCTGTGCTTTTGAGTGACTGGGCAGTTGGATATAGTTACTCTCCATAATGAGATTGTAATCACCTCTATGATGGTATCTGCTGTGAGCAGCTAAATAGCTGCCTTCAGAGCATGTCTTGATTCCAATATATAAGAAATTTTGAGAAAGATCTCCAGCTTTTTGGCACACATGGATCCTACATTTGGCCAAGTCTTCATCTCAGTGGCCTGCTGTGTTGCCTGCCAATCTTGAGATAGTTCTTGGACTTGAACCAGTGGTCTGCCATATGCCTATTGATCTTGAGATTCAGCCATTCCACTTGCTGATCTTGGGTTTGTCAATCTCAGCAGCCAGCAGCATGCTGAGTTACAAGAATCCTGCAGCTCCAATGTGCCTGGAATAACAGGCAGAGGTGAAGCCCAAGGTCAAAGGGTCTTCACCCAGCCCCTGGAGTAAGCACTCTGAATTTGGACTCCTAGCCTCTTAAGCTATAAGAGAATAAATTCTTATTTACTAAAGCCATCCATTAGTGGTGTTTCTCTTATAGCAGCACTAGAAAACCAAAACACTAGAAATGACAAATTAAAGATGAATAGTGTCACATTTGGTTTAAAATCAAGAAGGGAGTGCCTCAGGGTTGTATCCTTTCTCCACACTTATTCAATATATATGATGAGCAAATAATCCGAGAAGCTGGACTATATGAAGAAAAACGTGGTATCAGGATTGGAGGAAGAATCATTAACAACCTGAGATATGCAGACGATATA